TTGGGTTCCGAGTATATCATCCTAAGGAGATAGTGCTATTCAGATCGCTAACTGGGTGCGATATTATAGCGCGTCTACTCCACTGAGTAGCTGTTCGGCATTTTGGTTCATAATAATTGATCCTAGGGTGAAGCTCTCAGCGGCTAAATGAAATAATATTGAATTCCCAGACAGTGAATACTTAGTAACTCAGTAGCAAACAAGTAGAAAATAATTTGAATGCCTTGCGGAGTTACATTACTCTTCCAGCAGTATGCGCGGCTGTTGCATAGTGTAAATCTGCATCATCGGATTCGCAACCCGAGATGGATGTCCTTGTCCTCGAAATCAATTTCTCCATTCGATCAGCACCCCAAAATTGATGTCCATAGTCGTGAATATCATTTATTCACTCCCGACCTCAACCACCAAATAGGTTTCTGGAAGGTATAGTGAGGAACGATAACATCAACCTCAGAATTGTTCTGACGGGCAACTTGTTCGCCTTGCATCACTGTGTACATATCATCCGCCGAAAAATGCTACTATTGCTATTTGGACTTATTGTTTATGTGAACTGCAACAAGCAACTTCATAATGAGCTCTGAGTTGGGTTATGTACTTGGCACAGCGATCGAGCATGGATCGAATCAACGAGGATTTCTCGGTATCAGAATCGTTGATGAGTTGATCGTGATGGAACAACTAATATTCATTACAATAAATCCTCCAAGATGACAGATACTAATACTCACATGTCATAGAAATGATAAAGTTGGTGTGTTACTATCACCGACCTATCGCATAAGTCAGCTTATCAGGTGCACGCAAACACATAAGATTCCCGGAAGTATCCCCACACGCCTATTGATATCTATATACCATACTGATCTATTATATACTGCATCGCAATCCCTGCTCGTAGTGGATCATAATGTCGCCTCCCGATGCACATACCAGAGCACATCAGAGGTTACCATCATATCACTAGATACATTCAAGTAACCAGCTGGTTCATCTACCCAGATAAGGCGAACGGAGCCTCGTGAGCTCTAAGCCGAGCTCGGGAATAATTGGTGTGTTATTGAGCCTATTACGAATCTTGTCTAGGTGGACCGAAGATACTATTTATAGCTGAATCTATTCCATTACTATTTGCATCCCTTCTAAATCACTAGATAATCCTGTAGACGCATTGGCGACCCCACCATAAGCCTCAGGTTGCTGACTTCGTAATCATACGCCCATCAACCCTTCTAGGACGGTCATACAAGTTGAGATCAAAATGGTGTCTGAAAACCCTGGATGAGCTGTCATCTCGAATCAGTCATATGATTCGAGATACCTCCAATTTGAGCCGAACTTCTGAAAACAGACCGATAAATCTCGATTACCCTGTAACTGTTCGAATGCACAGAAGCGTGGCTGTAACGAGAAGAACCATCGTTGATTTAGTCCGAGTTAATCTGCAGAGAGGATGATGATGAAGTTGGACATCAAAGTCATTCCGAGTGATTATTCTCCGGGAAACTAAAATGATCTCTAAATTGACTCGATATTCTTTCAAGAAAATTATATCCCCAAATTCCCACGATGAATGAACTTCCCGTTCGTTTTTTTGTTATACCTTACATAGATTTCTGTAACTGGAATGCTGTTGGACTTACCTATTACGTTTACCACTACACATTCAGTGCTGGTCTGATCACATCCAAGTCCACTTCGGTATGGCGGATTATGATGCAAGGATCTCTTATTATTGAGGCCGTCCTCAAGGAGGTCCTGTCATTTTCATCTGAGTTTACCTTATCGGAAGTAAAGCTCCTACTACTACGACGGGCGAGTAATGTTCATTGTAAACTGAGATTAATATTGATTTTATACATCGACGTTGTAACCTGATATCAATCATACAAATCAGTTGAGGTAAGACAATTCGGGCGGATAAAATTGTAGGAGAATCAGCATCTATCGAAGTCCCCGATTGTAAATTTCACAATTTATTTGGTTAATACTCAATTCACGAGATAGTCATCATCCTCAGTCAAAGGCAACGCAACGCAACGCAATGCTTATTGCCGGGCTTTACGGGCTAGCAGCCGATCGCCCTCAAACGTACAATAGCCGGCTCAGAAGCACCTGCAGAGACAGTGAGGCTATAACCCCGTCGACATCAGAGATATGTGGCTGCTACTACTACAACGAGAGAGAGAAAGGTAAATAATGCAAAGAGCGGGGCCAGATATAATACCTAAAATAGGAAAAAGAGCTTGAAATGACGGGGAAAGAAATACGACTACTATAAAGAGGACGATATAGACCCCGGGCAGCTCTACCATATGCAAAGGTGATGACATCGCAGATATATGCTACGAGAAGCGCAGGGAGGGTAATGAATCACCAGAACAGGGTTTACACGGCAGACAGAATACAGCTGCGGTTGGTTGGGGGAAGTAAGTCAAGTCGACGACAGTACAGTAGACGCTCCTCTTGCTCCTTCGGCACTGGGCAGAATATACCGGGAATCATGATGGTGAACATTGACAGTAAGATTGTCGAGAGCGAGAAGACATCGCGATGATTACCAGTTCATACAGTAGACCGTGGTAGACTATGCTCGCTGCAAAACCAACTGAGGTAGTATTCGAAAAGGATAATAGCCAAACGATTTCGGGCACGACGCCGAATTGATAGTACCTGGAACGACAAGGAAGAACGACTAACAAAGCGGGGCGAATGCGAATGCATAAAATGAGACAACTGAGCGAAAGAACACGGGAGCAACTGTTGGGCAAAGGTAGTGGCAAGTACGACGTAACTCAGTAGAAAGAAAGGCCGAAGTCTGACAAAAGCCAGGTCAAATGTGAAAGCAATCCTCGACAAGTAGACAGTGATGCAGGAATATCATGAGACAAAATCGTTAGAGGGAACGGTGTGGCATGAGATATAATGCAAGGGTAAGATAGAGCAGGTATACACATAGTAGCAGCCCATAGAATAAAACGCTAGAAAGAGCTAAACAGGCATCAACGGAGAGAAACCCCACCATACTCCAAGGCACCCGCTGAGGGATGTACGAGTATAGGCAGAGGTGGTCAAGGCTTGGCACCGGCTATACCGAACCGGTCACCCCCACGCCACGTTGAGGCGCCAAGACCTGTGGGGGCAGTCAAAGGCAAATCCACAGTCATCAATTTCGAACATCTAATTTTCGGCAAAAATCTTGAGTAATCTTGCATTCTCACACTTCCTCAGATCTATTCACCCTTTTATAGCGCAATCGATTGCCATTCTCCTTGGTGTGCTCAGAGGCCCTTAGGGAGGTAGACCCTTGGATGGTCATGTCTGACTGTGATACAGTTATTCGTAGAGGATCAGAGACCTATTGAGGAGGCAGTCTTGGCGTTAGATCGATCTGCGTCGTCTTGCTGTTATTAGTCATTGGGAGGTATCTTAGGGTTGATGCTGATAGATACGGATTATGTTCTCCATTAGAGAGTTCGCTACCCAACCTAATCCACTATGCCGGATCTCTACATGACTCGTCCTCGTAACTTCGGGCCTGGTTCTCGTCAGTGCCGTGTGTGCTCCAACCAGCACGGTCTCATCCGCAAGTACGGCCTCATGATGTGCCGTCAATGCTTCAGGGAGAAGGCCAACGATATTGGATTCCACAAGTAATAATATTTAATGCATTAATGGTTTACTCTATTGTTATTGTTAGGTACCGATGAATATCGAGACGGACTGGTATCACAGTTGATAGAGCTCAAGTTGGCTAGAAAGCGATATCCTCTTGAGTGTTATTCTTCTTGTTGTGTTGAGGTTTATTCACCTAAGGGAAGGGGAAATGTGCTGTTTGCATTCTATTAAGAGTAGTCGAAGTCATCTATTCCGTAGTGATTTGCTCGGCCCGTATTATTTCTCTCTTCGAATAGTATTCTACTGAATCATCTTACTGCTTATATTATTCAGATGTCACGTGTCGGCGGGCTTTGATGACCATGTGCTTTGAGTGTCCCCATCAGGAATACTTCTGGTCATGCGTTGGGGAATGCATTACTCGTTACCGTAACGACGTTACGATTCAACGAACGAGTGTGTACGTGAGGTGAAATAGCCTAAAATCTTTGGATTGCCTGAGTAGCTGAGTATCATCATCATCATTCGCTATGAATTAGATCCGCCCTCATTAGTTTCACCGTAGTACTCCTTGGTTCCAATGATTCGTTGTTTGGTCTGTGTATCGCTTTTGATCTGATGTGAGTATACCCGCCGTGTTACACTAACCAACATCAACATACACATGATGATCATGAGAAAAGAATTCATCATTTTCTGTTGACAGTGATTGACATTACCTCATTATTAGAGCATTCTCAGCATGTACGACAACAGTCGATAATTATTTTTCGAATCTTTCAGCTCAAATGTAATTCTAACATCTTTCCATTTCCCTACCAACTCTTCCCCCACTGCTATTGAATTCATACACAGGCTCCTTCGAGTAACGGCAATCGTTCCTGATTCAGCCCCGTAATATCGAATGATGCGAGTTGATTTTCAGATAAATAACTCTGGGTGGTAGTACGTGTCTAGCTTCGAGCTTATAAGGTATACCAACAACAGCTGCAAGCAACACCGCTATTGTAACTTGGTAAATGCATTCCTGAACTTTCATACTGCCTCTCGCCATCCATCCGATGCGGTTTACTTTTATGAATTTCACGCCTGGTTTTATGGTTATTCACCTCAATAATGACCAAGAGCTCAAGTGGATAGTTCGAAATCGTTCTTAATGTTAGTCCGTGTATGCTCAATGAATGCGAATAACACACACATTTTCATCTGGAAAAGTCCTGATACCACAGATCGAGCCGTGCTGTTTTATAAGGTGGAATCTCGAAGTACTTTAGGATATGCTGGTTCGCTGGTTCTTGAGTGACGTTAAGAAACATACCCGAACGCATCCATTTAAACATATCCGGTCGGCGCTACCTTTCCAGGGACGAAATCTGACGTAAATTCTCACCATTCCCTCTCCTCGATGATATCAGCAAGTACTCATTCACTCAAGTTCACATACCACATTTCCAATACTTCCCCCCAACCATACCCTCTCATCGCTAACACTAGTCCTAATCTTCCATTCAAGAAACATAAGTTGTACTCTAATATTAAAACAAACGTCGTCGATTCATCTGTTCCTCCTGCTTAGCCCTCTGTTGCCTCTTCCTTCGTTCCCTCCTCCCACGCGTCCTCGCATTAGCTCGACTGCTACCATTGGTGCCTCCCCTGCTCTCCGCTGATTGCAAATTTACCGGACTAATCACAACCAGTCCCATCACCCAAACCAACAGCCGTTTCCTACCTGCTATTGTTCCTCTGTCGCCTTTGACGTTTCCTCGCTTGAACTGGCTTCCGATCTTCCCACGACTTTCTACGTTTGCGGGATGCGCCCTCAGGAGGTACCTAGGACACGAAAAAACAATCGATGCCGGAATCGAACCCACCACATTTCCATTCCCAGCACTCACGTTATCATCCCTCACATGTGCACCTCCTTCCCTCATAACTAAGCCACTTGCTTTGGCGACACTCGACTTGCTCGGCGAGGTTCCTCCCATTGCAGTCGGCATTTCATTCTGCAGA